TATGAAATAAACCATTGTAATGCTTTTCCTCGTACTCCGTAAAGCTCTAATTTTGAAATGAGTATGTTGTGGTCCACAGTGTCAAATGCTTTTTTGAGATCAAGAAACAGTAGACCATTAATAAGGCCCTGGTCCATATTTACAAGACATTGATTTACAGAATGTAAGAGTGCAATCTCTGTGGAGTGTTGAGTGCGAAATCCAGATTGATTTGTGGATACTATCTGGTGAAATTCTAAAAAATTATTTAGTTGCCTAGAGACCAGCTTTTCAAAAATTTTTGCTACTGCTGATGTTACTGAGATAGGTCTGTAATTATCGCAATCCATCTTGTCCCCTGATTTGTAAAGAGGGTTTCAAATCGTCTGGAAAAATTCCAGTATCGATAGATAGATTAAAAATTTGACTTAAGGAGCCGATAATGGTCTCCCCGGCTGCTTTTAATAGTTTGTTTGAAATTTTGTCCAAACCTGTTGATTCCCCGGCTTTTGCTTTAAATATCTCACATCTTAATTCATCCATTGTTATATTATTTAACTCGAATACCTCAGTCACTGGTGTCACGTAGTTAAGAGGGTCGGTATTGTTGCAAGATAAATTCTCACTCAATTTTTCACCAATTGTAGAAAAATAATTGTGGAATGCTGTTGCAATATTTTTGTCACCAGTAACTATACTATCCCCAACTTTTAATTCGTTAATTAATGTGGACTTAGATTTTTTGTTCAATAGTAAATTGATTGTTCTCCATCCTTCCTTACTGTTCGTAGTACTTTCTAGCTTGTTCTTAAAGTATATAGCTTTAGTATCTTTAATAAGATTGTTAACACTATTTCTGCAATTCTTGTATAGTTCATGATATCTTGTCGAATTATGTTTAATTGCTTTTCTCTTTAGAAAATCTCTATGATAGCTCATATTCTTAATTTCGTTTGTCATCCAAGGGTTATATTCACTTTTTACCTTTCTTTTTAGTAATGGGGCATGAATGTCAGCAATTTCCAAAAATATTTCCTTCCATGTGCACCAGGCAGTATTTGCATCAGTGCAATTGTAAAACAAAGTTGAGTTAAGTGCTTGGTTAAGGTCTTGCTGGAAATTGTTAATGTTAAAGTGCTTGAATTGTCTTGTTTCTACTACTTTAGGTTTTGCTTTTGGAATACTAACCTTTCTGCATGCATAAACCAGGCTGTGATCACTAATTCCGAGGTGAATGACCCCTGATTCAATGATTTTTGTGTCGCCTATTTTTGTGATAATAATGTCTAATAGAGGTTTAGTTCTAGGAGTAATTCTTGTCGGGCTAGTGATTAACTGTTGTAGTTGGTATTCATTTATTAACTCAATCAATTTGTTTGTATGTTGGTTATTATTTTCAGTTGACAGAAAATTGCAATTAAAATCACCAGTTATAACAAAATCTTTGTCCTCTTCATCAATATTCTGTAAAAAATTTTCAAAATGGACAAGTAATTCTATCTTGGCATCGGGAGGACGATACCATGTTGAGATCAGTAGAGGTTTGCTGTTAGGCTTGTTAATTTCAATACAAATAGCTTCTACTGTACTTGAAAGTAAGTGATTGCAAATATATACCAACAGATCGTACCGTTTCGTACGGCTCGTAAGACGATTCACGATCCGACAAATCCGTACGGTCCGTACGAGCTGTGAAATGGCTTTACGGATCGTACGGTTCGTGAAAATGATTTACGGATCGTGAAGATACTTTGTCGATCCGTCATTAATATTACTGCTTCGTTTTTTAAAAAAAAACATTGCGCAAACTATTTAAAACATTGCGCGAACTAAGTGACTACAAACCAGTACATAACGTTCAGAGCACTGCATGCCTCTATTTTATAATTCATAATATTATTGCTTCCGTTTTTTAAAACATTGCGCAAAGTAATTACAAGCAGTACATGACCAGAGTACTGCCTCTATAATCATTCATATTATTGCTTCGACAGTTCATAGAAGCCGAGGATGCGTATATAATCATTCGTATTATATATTGCTTCGTTCTTTAAAAATATTGCGCGAAATAAATAATTGCAATTTACAAACAGAAAAACCTTCAGAGAACTGCCTAGTCACTATATAATCACTATATAGTGATTATATAGTGATTAGATCACTCTATAATCACTAATATTATTGCTTCGACAAATTCGTATACGTTCACGTAAATATAGAAGCTGAGATTGCGTATAATCATTCATATTATATATTGCTTCGTTCTTTAAAAATATTGCGGGAACTCAATAAGTTCAACGAAGTGGCTTTCACCTCTAAGATCGCAGGTTCGAATCTCAA